TAAAAGTCAAATCTGGTAATTTCCCAGTCATGTCTAAAACCGGAACTTCAGATTCCTGAAGTTTAATTGGAAGGAGACTGTCCTACCAAACAATAACACTTCCTTCTCCTTCCTTCTCAGTACCACTCTTGTAGGCACTCGACCTTTCTCAGCAACGTAAAGTGAGGTTACGTTTATAAATTTATCTAATGTCTTTTGCATTTAATGTATTAGGCAGAATTTTCATTCGTTTATGCAAACCTTTGGGACCTGGTGACCGGCGTGGAAGCAAAGGTAGATTATTATGGTCTAAGGAAAACGGCGCTGCGAGGAGTTACCAGGGGATCTGGCTGACACTCAATACTCGAGGAAAAGGCTAGATGATGTACAATCAGACAGTTACTGGTACCATCGGAATTAGAACTCTTTGTTTGCTGCTGAAGATGGGGACACCGCTCTTTTTGAAGTGTCCTGAGTGCATTGATGTCGATTATTAATTCAACAGTCAACATATACAACCTTACAATACATAATACGCCAACCAATATATATATATATATATATATATATATATATATATATATATATATGTGTGTGTGTGTGTGTGTGTGTGTGTGTGTGTGTGTGTGTGTATTTTTTAAGCCAACGGATTAATGATTGTCCTTTGACTTCTCTGGTGTATGTTCTGTCTGGTATACGTCCTGTCTGGTATACGTTCTTTCTGGTATACGTCCTGTCTGGAATACGTCCTGTCTGGTGTACGTCCTGCCCGGTACACGTCCTGCCTAGTAAATGTCCTGCATGGTATACGTCCTTTCTGGTATACGTCCTGTCTGGTATACATCCTGTTCGGTATACGTCCTGCCTGTAATACGTCCGGTCTGGTATACATCCACAGATCTAGCACGGTACCAATGTTTAAATAAAATCACGGTATTCATTATGATGCTCCACTTCGAAAAGCGTTTAAAATTATGAAGTAGTAGCTATTGCCAAGCTTCAGTTTGAATCATTGTATAAACATCCTCATCCTAATTATCATCAAATTCATCATCATCATCATCATCATCATGATGCTTCATGTCGGGAATCACAAAATATCAAACCTTGGACCTCTCCTGCCTTAAGAAGCCAACTAAAATTGTCATAATTCCCAACAGTCGCACTTTGTGGGATCCTGGGTTTCCAGAACTTTTTCAACGAGACCTGGATCCAGATGGTGCTGACCTGGCAGAATCCGAGGGGATGCTTCACCGTTCCGGTCTCAGCAATGGAAGTTTTCGTGGAGTTGAGCAAGAATTATGAAGAGCTTCATGCGCTAGCAGAGCGACTGTTCGGCGATGACAATTCAGTGTGAGTTATTCTGGGTTTTTGTAGTTATGCAGATGAATAGATGTGATACAGTCAGTCAGGTCTTGGTCAGATATGACTGAGCTACTGTATAACAGTAGCCGGTACCACCTGTCTTCTGTTACGCCAAATGTTGGACGGCGTATACTAACCCAACATCACATATGGCTTCGGGCGGAGGAGCCCACTGGGGAGGATACTAGCCTTATCCTAGGAAGAGGAACTGCAACCTGAAAACGTTGTGTTATGGCAGGGCAGACCAGGCTCTTCGCCTTGGCTGGCAGCTGGTTTAGGAGGGAAGCTCTGATAGGCGGACATATAGAGCACTGCTCTTCTGATCCGACAGCTTCTGCAAACTGCCTCGTTCTAAACGTACTGGTTTTACCTTTCCTTTGGAGTAAACAAGGTAGGTCGAGAGAGGGATCATTGCGCATGGACAACATATGGCCTCTACAATACTGCCCAAGCTTTGTGCTATGAATAGGAGGCAGAGACGGCTTAATAGCTTTCACATGCGATACCTAAGAAGAATACTTGGCATTAAGTGGCAGGATAAAATTACAAACACTGAGGTATTGATGCGGACTCATGGGAACAAAATGCCATAAACCGTGTTGTGTGGAAAGGGCATATCAGGAAGGGAATAAGACTGAAGGAAGAAATGATTGCAGAAAGGAGGAGAGCTGAGCATCTGAAAAGAAACGGATTAAACACAAATGTTGACAACAATGGTCCTGAAATCCCATGCTATCATTGTGGAAGACTTTTCTTGACACGGGCGGGTCTTGCTAGTCACACTTGCCATCGCCATGGGCTGTGAGTCTCATGCCTCCTCAAAGCGCAATATAACACTATTGCCTGGAAAGACGAAAAGGTGCCAATGATAAGATGTGATACCACAACATAAGGCTTAAGAATGGAGGTGGAGGCGGTTACTGCAGCTTTACGTGGGCTATAAAACACGATACACACACACAAACACACACAGACACACACACATCGTAATTGTAACTGACTCAGAAAGCATGCCAAGGAAGGTGAGGAGAGGCAGGCTTCATGCAGAGTGGTAGGCTTCGCTTTGGAGGTCAAGGGTGAAGAGCATTGCCGGGATCTTTTCTTCAGGTGTGTTGGGAAATTAACAGGCGGGCAGATTAGCTGGCTTTGCACAACTTGGTAGGATACTGAGGCATGACAGCACGTGTACAATTTTGAATGGAAAATTGATAATTATAGTCTGGTGAGAGTGATGCAGCGAGGAGTATCGAGCCTGTACTAAACGCTCAGAGGAAAGGCAAGACCGACACATAATGAGACTGCTACTGGTGCCATTGGCATATGAACTCAGCGCTGGCTGCTGAAGATGGGGGACAGAGAGATTATGAGAATGTCATGTCCTGAGTGCAGGTTCTTAATTAACTCAACTCAATAGATCAATAAGTCGTAATGCTGAACTTAAATTAGGAATAATTTTAAAAGGGTAGAGACGGTAGAGAAATATCTGGGAACCAATAGTAAGAACAAAAACGAAGGTGGCGCTCTCTAGCGTAGTTGGCTAAAACCGGACTGCGCGGTGACCGGGTGACGAACTCCTTGTGGTCCAGGTTCACGCCCAGGGCTAGGCAGAAAAGCCACATCTCTCCCAGATTTACGATATTTATCATGGAATCAAGACCGAAAGGTTGCGACATCCTGAGAGAGAAAAAAAAACGAGAAGAGAATCACAAAACAGGCACTAAAAAAGGATATAAAGGGACTGAGGAACTGAGGACGTCCAAAAGAAACCTTGAAATGAGCGTTATGGAGAGAGGCCAAAGATGCCGGAATGGATTCCATCAATGATATCCAGGGGGACTGCACATGACAGAACGTGACATACAATGGCACAAAAGGTCAGTGATGATGATGATGATGATGATGATGAAGTACATAGGGCCTTGAGGCGCACCCCCCCCCCCCCCCCCTCAATCTTTTAAGGGGAAATTGTGGAGAAAGGGGGATGGAATGTTGAGCAGCCCAATAATTTCAAATGGGTTAAAAAGTTGCTTATCTTTTACAGGACGTTGCGGAATCAACCCCATCATTTTGTTGGTGGTTGTTTTTTTAATAAGCACATTTTACATTCACTAGTTTGCCATTGCTTTCTGGAAGGTCAGCTCTCTGTACCTTTGTCAAAACCAACGTCAGACACACCGTCCGCAGCTGGGATCGAACTCGGCACTCCAGCATTACGATGCGCCTCCGCAACGCCAAAGTTAAAGGGGTTAAGTGCGGAGTATGTGGAAAAAAATCCTAGGCCCTAAGTATTTTCCACATTCGTTGACGGATGACTTGATTGAATGTTTTTTCTTGATCTAGATATGCAGCTTCTAGCGCCTTATCATATTCTTTTGTTTTTTTCTATGCTACCTGTCGCAGTGTAAAGATGCCGCTAACACAGCTTAAGTTTCTTCTGAAACCCATTTGTGTTTCAAAGAGTGGGAGTCTTTTTCAACAGCTTCACACACACACACACACACACACACACACACGCTCGCACTCACACACACACACACACACAAACACACATACACACAAAGACACAAACACACACACACATAAACACACATAAACACACACACACAGACACAAACACACACACGTACACAAACACACACACAAACATACAAACACACACACAAACACATCCACGCACACACACACGCACACACAAACACACACACACGCGCAAACACACACACGCATACAATTCGTCCCTAGTGTGGCTTAGCAGAAAAATACCTCTGTATGTGGTGCACTCTCCTTTACTGCCTTTTCACCAGATCCGGACGATGATACAGTCTCTCCAGTTTTCCTGTTCTGTCGGAAATTGGCTTGGTTCTCTCTTAAATAACCACATCAGTGATTTTGTTTTTCCAAATCATACACTTCCCTCTGTACTGTACATGCATCAGTTAGTGAATATGGGCAGTTTATTAGAAATTGTTTTAGTAGTTCTTTTCGTTGGTAGTTTTTCATGTTAATAGTTCTTCGTGTTGGTAGTTCTATAACGTTAGTAGTTCTTTATATTTGAAGTTCTTCGTGTTAGTAGTTCTTCATTTTAGTAGTTCTTCATTGCAGTAGTTCTTCTTGTTAGTAGTTCTTCATGCTGGTAGTTCTTCGTGCTGGTAGCTCTTCATGTTAGTAGTATTTCATGTTAGTAGTTCTTCATGTTAGTAGTTCTTCATGTCACTAGTTTTTCATGTTAGTAATTCTTCATGTCACTAGTTTTTCATGTTAGTAGCTCTTCATGTTAGTAGTTCTTCATGTCACTAGTTTTTCATGTTAGTAGCTCTTCATGTTAGTAGTTCGTCATGTTAGTAGTTCTTCATGTCACTAGTTTTTCATGTTAGTAGCTCTTCATGTTAGTAGTTCTTCATGTTAGTAGTTCTTCATGTCACTAGTTTTTCATGTTAGTAGCTCTTCATGTTAGTAGTTCTTCATGTTAGTAGTTCTTCATGTCACTAGTTTTTCATGTTAGTAGTGCTTCATGATAGTAGTTCTTATTAGTAATTCTTGAAATTTTTAATCCTCAGAATATTTTTTTCTTCAACAACAACTCGATTGTGAATACCTTCTAACTCCAGTAAGCGAGGGCTTACTGTTGACTTATTTTATGCTGCTTTCTGTTTTCGCTTTCACTCAGAGTGACAGTAGACCGAGATGCAGAACGAAATCGTCTGCTATATTTGAAACTTGATACCCTCAAACATAGAGAACAGCTCTCAAAGAGATATGAATTAATGTGAGTATGTGAATTTTTTTTCTTTTTAAACATCAAGAAGCACCCAGGCTGAATTACAGATTATTTTGTAATCGTTTTGTGGTGCCTCAATATAAATGTGCTTTTTGGTTATATATGTCATGAAAAATATGTGACAGAGATTAAAAGTGGAATAGAGCAAGGGAAAGCTGTATTTCAGAAAATGAAAAATATCTAATACATTAAGTCGCTCCTATTGAATGTCAGAAAGAGTGCGCTAAAATGTTACATAGAACTATTCTGCCGTATGGCAGCTAATCTTGGAATGATAAATGAACAAATTAGGAAGAATTTGGAAGCCACAGATGTTTTTGAGGCAAATGTTACAAATACCCTAGACGGTCAGAGTTACTTATAATGATTGTTTGAAAGAAGCTAATGAAAGTAGATCTCTTTATACAACAATAATAAGAAGACAAACACTACTATTTGGGCCATGTCATGAGAAGAGAGGCATTGGAGGACATCGTAACAACCGGAATGATCAGTGGAAAGAGGAGTAGAGGCAGACCAAGAAAGACGATGCTGGATGGGCTGAAATGATAGCATGGAGGGATATCATCAAGAGAGCTGTTTTAGGCAAACAGGGATCGTGATCAGTGGAGATGCATTAGCGACTACGCCGACTGGAAAGGCACATGATGATGATGATGATGATGATGATGATGATGATGATGATGATGATGATGATGATGATGATGATGATGATGGTATAGCTATATGGTCGAACACTGTTTCAGGGATTTGCACCTGTTTGATTTTAACCCTTGAGATGGTAATCCTACAAACTGCAATCCTGGAAGGGCAAACATTCCGGTACTCCCCTGTCTACGCCTCTTGTGGTTAACACCATGACATTCGCCTTTATTTCCCGGGACTGTACCTCGCACCCATTTAAGGCTAGGTTGACCTGGAGGGGCAAGGTCATTGTGGAAATAACTTGCCCCTTGTGGATTCGAACCCGTAGATGGGCGTCTAGCCGCTACGCCACGGCGGTTCACGTGATATAATGTAGGCTTTAAAAAAAAATAGTGTCACGCCATTTTGCTAACAGGGTGCTAAAGTGTTAAAAACTCCGGGTTTTCTACCTGAAACAGTAACAAGGCTCGAGGTGCAAAAACGGGTCGAAGTCTGATGACGGAAGCAGTCATGAGCGGTAAGTATTACAGTCAACCCTGGTTGTTGTTATTGCTGCTGTTGTTGTTGTTGTTGTTGCTGCTGCTGCTGTTGTTGTTGCTGCTGCTGCTGCTGTTGCTGCTGTTGTTGTCGTATTTTTATTTTAAAGTCCTGTATCCAGCCCATTAAAAAAAAATCGCAGTCTGTATGATTAATGTTGTCAGTCCATCACAGATCATGAGAACCTCTCGTCCCCCCCCCCCCCCCCCCATCCCTCATGAGACTCTATATGATACACACGCATTTTAAAGGCTCAGGTGGGGCATGGCAAGAACAGGTTATGTTCTGGGAAGGGTGGTGGGGGGGTGCGAGGTATAGAATCCGCTTTGATCGCTAGAGGTCCTGTGTTAAAACCCCTGTGAAGGCTGAGATTTACAACGCGGACTAAGTAAATTTACCTTGGTCTCTTGGTAGTAAGACCAAATCCCCGTGTGTATTGTTGCGCACGTAAAAAAATCCGCTGGCAGTTTGAAAACGACGCTGCCAGGGCAAAATTTGGAGTTTTAAACAAATCTAGTTGAAATATTTCAGGATCCTCGCCGGTGCAACGGAGTTTGTGCACTTCGCTGAGATTACGGAATTTGTGCACTTCGCTAAGATTACGGAATTTGTGCACTTCGCTAAGATTACGGAATTTGTGCACTTCGCTAAGGTTACGAAATTTGTGCACTTCGCTAAGATTACGGAATTTGTGCACTTCGCTAAGATTACGGAATTTGTGCACTTCGCTAAGATTACGGAATTTGTGCACTTCGCTAAGATTACGGAATTTGTGCACTTCGCTAAGATTACGGAATTTGTGCACTTCGCTGAGATTACGGAATTTGTGCACTTCGCTGAGATTACGGAATTTGTGCACTTCGCTGAGACTCTTTAGAGTCAGGCTTGAGTTAGAAGTACACCCACCCGTCTGCCCTGATGTTGATCCGTTAAATAAACATAAATAGAACAGGTTGTGAAACACTGTTGTAGACCTATATTTTATAGACCAATCAACACTTGATGCCCGGCTCTCTAGCGTAATTGGCTAAACCGGACGAACTCCTTGTGGTCTGGGTTCACTCCCGGGGATAGGCAGGAAAACCACATTTCTCCAAGATTTATGGTATCTATCATGGAATCAAAGCTGAAGGGTTGCGATATCCAAAGTACCAAGCCAAAGGGTTAACAACTCATGGTTTCTGGATATTTAAAAAAAAAAAAACAATACTAAAGTAGTAATTCAGATAATGAAGATTGATATAACATTCCTCAGTGACAGAAAAGTTAGTTGCGTATCCTTCATAGGACGTTGCAGAACTTGCTATAGATTTTTTTTTTTTGGCTGTTGTAGTTTTTCTAGGCAGATTTTACATTCAGTAGTTTGCCATTGCTTGCTAAACGGTCAGCTATGGGTACCACAGTGGAAACTAATGCAACACAAACCGTCCGCAGCTGGAATCAAACCCGGCACATTGGCATTAGGAAGCGTGTCCGCCACCGACGCCTAGTGATAGAAGACAGCTGGAAAATTAGATCATCTTTGAAGTGTGTGACAGCAGATAAGAAGGATGAGATGATGAGAATGACGAATGATGAGAATACTCTAGGCAGATGAAAATACAAACGAATACGTCTTGAAAGAAATTGGCTCACGAAGAGAACTCATTGCTTAAATCAGAAAGAGACAATCTACATTCTTTGGTCATGTGCTGAAAATGAGAAAACTGGAGTTCATCGTGACGCTAGGAAAGATAGAGGAGAGGAGAGATAGACGAAGACAAAGAGAAAAGATGCTGGACATTTGACATCATGGCATGAAAGATCATCTGTGTCAGAGTTGATTAAAATTACACAAGCCAGAAGGTTGTGGATAGATATGACAATCAACATAACACGGCATGGATTCTAAGAAGACGTGTGGCAGCATTCTAATTGTGTCTTTAGTTTAATTGATAATCCTATTCTGCAAGATAACAAAAAAACAAAAAACAAAACATTTTGTATAATTATGCGCATATCTTTTCACTACGCAGACGATTGTCTATCTCACAAGACAGGACTGGGAGCCGCTGTACTTGGTACCCATGCCAGGTACCTAGTTTCAGAACTGTTTGGAAAGAATTAAATCGCCGGAAAACGCCTGAGAATACTGAAACACACATAATCAAACGGGAATGAATTGTTTGACAAATGTGGATGCAGAAAAAAGCAGAGGCAGGACACAACCATTAACATATTAATCATCATCATCATCATCATTATCATCACCGTATGCCTTGCCCAGTCTTTCACCGCTCTCTGTCTTTATATTTTGAATCAAATCAACTGATTTTCCAATATACCTGTTTCACGCCGTCAAGTGTCAACCTATCTTGATCTTCCTCTGCTTCTCCTACCTCTGAACTTTAGTCAAAATGATGTTCTCCATTGCCTCTCTTCTCTTGTCAGTACACGACCCAAGAACACTGCCTCTTTCTTGTAGTTTTCTAGTTTCATTAGACTTTTCCAGGCAGTCATTGTTGGTCTTTCTATATGTCTATGTATCCACAGCACGCGTAGCAGAAACCTTATCCCTACGTCCTTCAGGGTCTTCAGGAACATACCGGACAACATAAAAATCCAGCGCCAAACATCATCAGCATTAGCAGATTGTTTTCAGAACCTTGCTGTCGTCAACACAGGCCGGAAAGTGTTTCTTCCTTAGTCAGTTCTCCAGCCTTATGTGTTTTCATAACCAATGCATCTTCAGTGTCTTGTATCCACAAGCTCGACCCCCGCCTCTTTTTCTGGAAACGGTAATCTCAATCGCTGTGTCTCCCCAAGCCATTATGCAGTTTAACATGGTCAAAAGGAGTCCGCTTTCTGGACAGGATGTTGTTTAAGAGCCAGTTTTCCTCGGAAGTCTATAGATCTCATCGACAAGCTACTGAGCTATGTGCTTGGTGAGACACTGTAAGCTGTTGAAATCAATAAAATATTTTTTCCCTTTGTCGCACCCGCGGCGAGTTATTGACTGTACTAAAACGGCGGGTTGTAGAATAAGTTCTACAGATGTGTACTTTTTTTGGGTGCAATTTCGGCTTTCATAATTGGCGAATAGCGCTAACAGTGATCTGCAGTTATGGAGTAGGGCCGTTAGTGTTAGCACATATGGCAGCTTCTTGAAGCATTTTTTCAAATGGGAGAGTGGCGGACATTTTGTATGCTTTTCACTGGCAAAGTTCCCTAGTAATTCACTACAATTCTGAGTATAGTGTTGACTCACTGAGTCAGTATTCCCTTTTTTATGGGCTCTGTACTGGTTTCGATCCCAGCAGCGGGCCTTCTGTCTTGCGTTGGTTTCGACAGTGGTATCGAGAAGCCAACCGTCCAAAAAGCAATGGCAAACTGCAGGACGTAAATTTGCCTAGAAAAACCACAACAGCCAAAAATGCTAGGGTTGGTTCATTAACGTCCTGTAAAGGATACATGACTAATTTAAAACAATGAAAAGACGTAGAATACAATGGTACGAACGCGTAATAAGATCTAACGGCTTCTCAAAAACAGTACTGCAGGGCTCAGTAGAGGGGAAAGGAGAAGAGGCAGACCAAGAAAGAACTGGATACAGGTACCCAATCTTTCCGAGTCGTCAGATAATATTACCAATATATTTGTCCAAGTTGAAATGTATTATAATTTCTCCTCGATTAGCATTAATTTGTTTAACATAAACTGGTAATTTTTTGGTCAACTGGAATTCGTGTTAACGAGGTTATTTCATGTCTATAAAACCACATTAAATACGGGTTTAATTGTTTAATAGTTGTCCAAGAATCACAGTCACACATAAAAGCCTTTTCTTGGTGACAGACAAGAATGATGTGTCTAACCTCCAATGAAAAGGACTCTTAATATATGAGATATTCTTCCCTGAATAAATATGATATTGAACAAATATTGATTTAACGTGTTAGTCTGCGTTTCTATGTCTTAATAAATGTTCTTTATTTCTTTCATTTCTTGTTTATTCTATTTATCTATCGATCTATTCATCGATCTATATATCGATCCATCCTTCCATCGATCCATCAATCTACTTACCTGTCCCTGTCTGTCTATATGTCTGTCAAATTATTCTATCTATTTATCTATCTATCTATCTATCTATCTATCTATCTATCTATCTATCTATCTATCTATCTATCTATCTATCTATCTATCTATCTATCTATCTATCTATCTATCTATCTATCTATCTATCTATCTATCTATCTATCTATCTATCTATCTATCTATCTATCTATCTATCTATCTATCTATCTATCTATCTATCTATCTATCTATCTATCTATCTATCTATCTATCTATCTATCTATCTATCTATCTATATCTATCTATCTATCTATCTATCTATCTATCTATCTATCTATCTATCTATCTATCTATCTATCTATCTATCTATCTATCTATCTATCTATATATCTATCTATCTATCTCTATCTATCTATCTATCTATCTATCTATCTATCTATCTATCTATCTATCTATCTATCTATCTATCTATCTATCTATCTATCTATCTATCTATCTATCTATCTATCTATCTATCTATCTATCTATCTATCTATCTATCTATCTATCTATCTATCTATCTATCTATCTATCTATCTATCTATCTATCTATCTATCTATCTATCTATCTATCTATCTATCTATCTATCTATCTATCTATCTATCTATCTATCTATCTATCTATCTATCTATCTATCTATCTATCTATCTATCTATCTATCTATCTGTCTGTCTGTCTGTCTGTCTGTCTGTCTGTCTGTCTGTCTGTCTGTCTGTCTGTCTGTCTGTCTGTCTGTCTGTCTGTCTGTCTGTCTGTCTGTCTGTCTGTCTGTCTGTCTGTCTGTCTGTCTGTCTGTCTGTCTGTCTGTCTGTCTGTCTGTCTGTCTGTCTGTCTGTCTGTCTGTCTGTCTGTCTGTCTGTCTGTCTGTCTGTCTGTCTGTCTGTCTGTCTGTCTGTCTGTCTGTCTGTCTGTCTGTCTGTCTATCTATCTATCTATCTATCTATCTATCTATCTATCTATCTATCTATCTATCTATCTATCTATCTATCTATCTATCTATCTATCTATCTATCTATCTATCTATCTATCTATCTATCTATCTATCTATCTATCTATCTATCTATCTATCTATCTATCTATCTATCTATCTATCTATCTATCTATCTATCTATCTGTCTGTCTGTCTGTCTGTCTGTCTGTCTGTCTGTCTGTCTGTCTGCCTGTCTGCCTGTCTGCCTGTCTGTCTGTCTGTCTGTCTGTCTGTCTGTCTGTCTGTCTGTCTGTCTAATCTAATCTGTCCGCGCGTGTGTGTGTGTGCGTGTGTGTGTGTGTGTGTGGAGAAAGAGAGAGAAAGAGAGAGGAGGAAGAGTAAAATACAAGATAATTATGTCCCGTTAATAAGCAAGCTTCATCAATCCGTATCTACATACGACGATCCTGGTAATGAGGAATTTGCCAACAACCCAACCGTTATCAGGTTCAATCATCTAGTAAATCAATCTCAAGTTTCACAGGTGTAATGACGGGATAGCTAATATTCATTTGTAAATGACGGCTGTTACGCTAGTATGTGCCCGGTTCAGGCTGTTCCACATATGTGACATCTGCTGCATCAACTGAACCACCAGCGGATCGAGTTACCCCGAATTCATATCCGGGAAGCACTGAATTCTCCAGGTACGTTGAATTTACATTGTAATTTTGTTGAAATATTAACATACTAGGAGACTAGTGTTTGAGGGTGATACTGTATAATGTCTCTCAGGTTGACACAGCCCTGAGTGGGTAGCAGGTTGCAGTACTGGGAAGTAAAGGCGGCTGGTGTGATGCCGACTACATCACCCATTGAAGTGTCTGAAAATATTGGTCTAGCCCTATATGCCCAATAGCTAAAAGGAACGTTACTTTTTTAACTTTTTGTTTTTTAACTGTAGGTATATAGTGTTAGTTGCATACACTTTACAGGAGGTTTCAAATGAACATCAACATTTAACGACTTCTTATGGTTTTAAGGCAGAAGTAAAAGGCAAAGGATCCCTTTCCACGCCTTTAGGCGAATACGGCACATAGGGCTAGACCTATATTTTATAGATCATTTGGCATACGGTGGATGATGTGGTCAACTGAGAGCCAAGGACATTTTCTAAATGTCCGGCTCAGCCAGGTTCTGAAACCACGACCGTTAGTTGCGTTTAGCAGATACACCTCAGCGGCTGGTTTTAGGGTAGAACGTGAAAATTGAAACATCAAGAAGCAGTAGGAGAGCCATTATCGCAGCTCTAACTAGACTAACCTCGGGTAGAAGAGAAAGGATATAAATCTTTATCTTCTTCTTCTTCTGATGTTGACTGCATATGTTTGTCTGTTTGTCTATGGGTGTGTCTGTGTGCGTTTGTCTGTGTCTGTTTGTCCATGTGTATCTGTGTGGGTTTGCGATTGTGTGTGTCTGCGTGTTTGTCTGTATATCTGTGTGTGTATGTGTGTGTCTGCTTGTGTCTGTGTGTCTGCGTATGTGTGTCTGCCTGAGTGTCTGCGTGTGTGTCTGTATGTGTGTGTCTGCGTGTGTGTCTATATGTGTGTCTGTATGTGTGTGTCTGCGTGTGTGTCTATATGTGTGTCTGTATGTGTATGTATGCGTATGTTTTGTGTGTCTGTGTATGTATTCGTGTGTTTTGTGTGTGCCTGTCTATGTATATGTGTGTGTCTGGGTGTGTCTATTTGTATGTGTCTGTGTGCGTGTGTATCTGTAAATGTCTTGGTGTGTGTGTGTGTTTGTGTCTATGGGTTGTCTCTGCGTATATATGTATGTATGTATGTATGTATGTATGTATGTATGTATGTATGTATGTATGCATGTATGTATGTATGTATGTATGTATGTATGTATGTATGTATGTATGTATGTATGTATGTATGTATGTATGTATGTATGTATGTATGTATGTATGTATGTATGTATGTATGTATGTATGTATGTATGTATGTATGTATGTATGTATGTATGTATGTATGTATGTATGTATGTATGTATGTATGTATGTATGTATGTATGTATGTATGTATGTATGTATGTATGTATGTATGTATGTATGTATGTATGTATGTATGTATGTATGTATGTATGTATGTATGTATGTATGTATGTATGTATGTATGTATGTATGTATGTATGTATGTATGTATGTATGTATGTATGTATGTATGTATGTATGTATGTATGTATGTATGTATGTATGTATGTATGTATGTATGTATGTATGTATGTATGTATGTATGTATGTATGTATGTATGTATGTATGTATGTATGTATGTATGTATGTATGTATGTATGTATGTATGTATGTATGTATGTATGTATGTATGTATGTATGTATGTATGTATGTATGTATGTATGTATGTATGTATGTATGTATGTATGTATGTATGTATGTATGTATGAATGTTTGCGGGTGTATGTATGTGGGTGTGTGTGCATATGTGTGTAAGTGAGTAGTGAGTAAATGGGCGTGTGCATGTGAGTGTGTGTGCGCGCTCGCAAGTGTGTGCATGCATATTACCACTGATGTTTTTCGTGATATTCATAACATGCATATTATTATCTCAACATAACAAGCTTTATTGATAAATTATAACTGGTGTTTGAGGGTAATACTGTCTCCCATTTCGACCCAGCCGAAGTGGGTAGCAGGCTACAAACCTGGGAAGTAAAGGCGGCTTTTTTCTCTAGGATTGTCCGCGTCTGACATTAATAGCACATATTTGATTCAAATAGGCTTTTTTTTTTTAGCTGCATTTCTATGTACGTGTTGACAAGGGATTTAAATAAACGGATACTACTCTACTGTGCAGCGGCCGTGGCTAAGGCGGTGCGAGTCCGACTCGTAATTCCAACGTACCGCTGCGATCGAAACCCACTGTCGGCTAAGTGGATTTTTATAGTGCTATGGGGCGTTGCAGGTCGACCCAGCCTAAATGGGTACCAGGATGTATGTCCTGGGGAAGTAAAGACGGCCGACGTATAGCTGACCACATTACCCACCTGGTGCCGATTGGTGTATAAAAATATGGGGTGCGTGCTCTTCCTATAGGCCTGATGCGCCTAAAGGCGTGAAAAGGGATTTTTACTTACTTACTTTACTTGCTCTATTGCTGTAATTACCATCTTGTTTTTGTTATTCCTACTTACCAATCTGAAGGTCTTGGCCTCAGAGTTGCATGCCGGGCATATTTCACATTGACCATAGTTTCCAGGCCCCCCCCCCCCCCCCGCCTCTCCCCTATTCTAACTTACCATTATCACCAGGAAATTTTATAGGAAATGAAAGCGCCTGTGTAATGTTGACCATATCACATATGGAGTGCGAACTGGTCCATAAAAAAAAGGGTCCAATTAACATCATATGTTCGAAGCGCCAGTTAATTTAGGGCTGGGTTGTCCTGGGAGCTAGGTTCATTTGAAAGAAAACAAGTCTGGCTCCATCAGGATCTGAGCCCATGTCCTTTCAATATACAGGCGAGCGTCTCGTCGCTACACCACAGCGGCTACCCTGAGTGTTTGTGTTTATACACATATGAATGTGTGTATATGCAGACACGGAAACATGCATACCCACGTGGGCGTGCAGACGTGTATGTTATATATATATATACATGTGTGTGTGTGTGTGTAGTTGTACATGTATGTCTATATACATGTGTGTGTGTAGTTGTACATGTATGTCTATATATATGTGTGTGTGTGTAGTTGTACATGTATGTCTATATACATGTGTGTGTGTAGTTGTACATGTATGTCTATATACATGTGTGTGTGTGTGTGTGGGTGTGTATAGAGCACACTAACCTTTCCCGCCAACTCAGTCTAGGTACTAGAGTTCCAGTCCAAGCCACTAGTTTTGGTGCAATTAACATTTCTTAGCCAAATTAAGTGGTACAAAGAAACCAGACCACAATTATAACCGATACTGCTCGCAGTAAGTTAAACGTGGGCGATTTTTGTTGGTTTGTTTTTCATTTATGGATAGAGGGGCGGATATTGTTTTTTATTTTTTTAAATCTTTCAATGTTTAAGATGAAGTTTCGGGCACCATCTCACTTAATACTAATTTATCTTTCAGTACGGTCGTATGATGCCAACTAAGAAAACAGGATGTGCTCTTCTGCTTTGTTTGTTGCCTGTCGTGGTATATCACTTTACCGACTGGCCGCCTGTAGAAGATGAGATCACGCGCACAAAGGAACTTCTTCTGGACGATGTCTTCCGTGCTTCATTGAGAGCTGTGGAGTTCTTGAGTACAAACTACTTTGACATTAATGTGGACGGGCTGTATGGGTTCCGAGTCTGCCAAGGTAGGACATCCACCGATGAAGTTTTTTTTTTCTCTGGCCCGCATAAACATTCCTTCAGTTGTTTCACAAATCAGTGGCCCAGAGCTCCAGCCTTCATCCATACTGGGCATCGGGTGCCTGGACAATTCTAGGGTGTCCCGTTATAACGGATCTGCACGGTTGAAAGGAGTGTCTGTGATTTGTTTCTGTGGTCAAACTGTCCATCATCATCTCTCTCGGCCACCCTCTGCATGACCAGCGAATTAAGTCGCCTCGCTGAAAAACCTTCAGGCTTGAGTCATGAAAAAAAGGGGGGGGGGGGATTTAAAATTTTTTTTTAAATGAGGCTCAGTTAATAAATTCATATCTCCACACTATACACTGTCTACTGTATATCTCTAACACAGTGATTCTGAGGGATATGAGGCTAATTATTATTACACACTTAAACATAACTAAGACCGGTAAGCGTAGTATGTCATGTTTCGCTATCTCACACGACCACCAGAATCACTGATGTGTTCAATGTTATATCCACAGGCAGCCTCATAGGGACACTCCATGATTGCTCGTTTGAGAACCTCAGATGTCCAAACAAGCTCAAATACGAGCTGATGTCTATTATTGCACGGCTCCATAAACTGTGCGATATGGCTCTGCCTTTCATTGAGGTACATATGCAATCGCAAACTATTGTGCCATAAAGTACGTAATAACTAAATAAAATTAAGCTATTATGTAACATAACAACTTAACAAATTTGTGGCACGAAGTAACGTAATCACTTAATTAAAAATGTGACATGAATTGACCTAATAACTAAACAAAAATTTGACATGAAGTAAAGTAATAACGAAACAAACATTATCACCAAGAAGCGCAACGAGAGGTGTACATTAGTATTAATAATTTTCACACAAATATCCTGCTCCAGTTTCAATTGGGATATAAGAAATGTATTGTGATATTTTAATGCTATATGTATTGTTCTATGTGATATCTACACCACCTTTCAAGTGCATGCGTTGACCTCATTAAGTATCCACAAATTGCTGCGTCATACCGATCATTGTTTCTACATCATTCTGTTCACTTACTCGATACTCGAACGTCATCTGGTAATTATATAAGGTTGTTGTCGCAGCCCATTCATTTGTCGTTCTCATTCAGTCCATAGCTGTGGTGGGAATTTTTCCTTCCGAGTACTGCTTTGGGATCTAACATGTTTCGTATGTTGACACTGTTCTCTTCGTTGATAACCACATAATTGTCTACATCCAAGAGGTTTTGAACAACGGACCAGCATCGTGGCACACGGGTAGTAACCCATAAGTGAGTCCGAAGAAGCTCAGCACAGTGCATATGCTTTGTAGCACCGGCAAGGATCCTGAAATACTTTGGGTAGATTTTTAACTCCATCTTTTTTGCCCGGGCAGCGCCGTCATGCTACTCTTTTCGATTTCCAACTGCCACAGGATTTTTGTTACGTGCGCAACAATACACTCGGGCGTCCGATCTCACTACTCAGGGACCAGGGGGAATTACTAAAAGTCCAATTCCACGTGGAAAAATCACAGCCTTTAGCGGGGATTGAACCGTGAATCTCTAGCACTCGGGGCAGACACCATGTCTCGACACCACGTAGCCCCCCCCCCCTTCCTTTCCCGTCCACCCAGGTCCAAGATTATCCTGTGAATCTGGTATGATAGAGGAGCGGATGGCTGACTGGTCATTACGCGCCAGAAAGACTGTGTTCTTTATTATTTATCCTACCCCAAACAGGGGAAATCCACAGGTCACGGGCCAGTCTAATATTTCAGGGAGTGGTAGATAGGCTGCATGCAGTCGTGGAACCTAGGCTGCACTCTCTCGTGGGGCGTATATTGGTTGAGGTTAGGGTCAGTTCTAGATGTTTAAGGGACGTTAAAAGCATCAGAAAGCCGGGCAACTCAGTCTTACCACACTCTAAAATGTTGGCCTTTGTTGCGGTTTTTTTTTTTTTTTTTTTGACGTTATCTGGGAGTAGGATATTAATAAAGCACTAAAACCCGGCTTAGATTCTTAGTGAGAGATCGAGATTATTTCCGCAAAACAATAAAACGTCATAACCTCCTCAGTTCATCGAGACGGCACTAGGAGCACGGCCGAAAATCCACAGAATCTGCCCCCCCCCCCCCCCCCCCCCCCCCCCCCCCACAACCACCAATAAATCCTGCACCACTCGACAATATGTATATCATCATCAGGTGCCTTGCCGACTGGCGTGGGCGATCATGCCTCTCCAAAATCTGCGATCTCCTGCAGCATGTATCAGTTTGTGTGGTGACACACCTCCATGCCGTGCAACAAGACTGTCAAGAATGTTCCTTGTTTGTCTTCTTCTATACTTCTTTCCACAGATCTTTCCAGTGGACACAGTATTTACCCTTTTCCCTCTTCTTATAACATGGCCACAAAATGATTACTGTCTCCTTCTGATGGTACATACAATCAATAAACACCACAGACCCTCCCGTTCTCTTTGTTTGTTGACGTGGCTGGTCACCCGTTTAGGAGCCTTTTCCACGCCTTTAGATGTATAGGGCATATAGGGCTAGACCTATATTTTATAGACCAATCGGTACAGGATGGGGGATGTGGTCAGCATGTGGCTGTCTTTACTTTCCGGGACTGCACCCGGTACCAACTCAAGGCTGAGTCGACCTGGGAGTCAAAGTCATTTTTTTTTAAAGTCCTACTCCACTAGAGTGTGAACCCACGACCTTCCGATCAGCGGCGAGCATCTAACCGCTCCACCGATTATTGTATGTATGGTACGTCTCAAAAGTCATACCGCCCTACATTTTAAAAACCATCTCGAAAACACCTGTATGGATGAACATCAATTCTTGCATATGGCCTTAGATTTCCCACGTCCTTATTATTCTATAATTTACTGTTGCACAGATGCTGCTGTTTTCTTGAAGCGGTAAATTTCTTTAAACTTTTTATTTGGACTAATAATTTGCACCCGTAAAAAAAAGGATATACAGTAATCGACAAATCTATTGAGATTGCTTGGTGATTATTTTGATAGCCTAATCCCCACTGAATGAAAAATCTGTATTTCACGGAGACCTATGCTGAAGGGGAATACTCTAGAGTAAAACGCCTATGGCACGTATGCAAAAAGATGTGTGAATAGTTCCCACCCATAACACAGCTTACTCAAGTTACAGTAGGCATGCTGAAGGCTTGCTTTGAATCCGTGTCTGTTTTTTTTTTTTTTTTTTTTTTTTTTTTGGTAATGCAATAGGGCAAATTGAAAACGAAATGTTTACATTAAAAAAAAAATGCTTACAATGATATTATTATTACCAAACTGTATGCCAAATCTCAACAAATAACACCAAACGGTTACTGGGTTACAGATTTGTAAAGTTCGGCAGCACTTCTGAAACGTACTGTAAAAAAAAAAGAGTAAAGATCCCTTTTCACGCCTTTCGGCGCATCGGGCATATGGGCAGAGCGTCCCATATTTTTACAGACCATCAGCACTGTGGGTAATGTGGTCAGCATTACGCCGGCTGTCTTTACTTTCCCAGGACAGCCCATCCTGGCACCCATTTTAGGCTGGGTCGACCTGCGACATCCCATACCACGACAAAAATCCACGCAGCCTGCAGTGGGTTTCGATAGCGGTATGCTGGCTTACGAGTCGGACTCGCAACGCCTTAGCCACGGACGCCACGAAACGTACTGTAGTATATCCTAATTACCTACCGTGTTTTCCCGAAATTACGACTGAGCCTTTTATTAACTGTTGCTTCAAAAATGCACTAGGGTGTTTTTTTTTTTTTTTTTTTTTGAGGGGATGGCTTTTTCAGATACAAAAATCTACATTTATTTATGAACACAGAATTACAATTATTCAAATACAGTCGTGTCATTCTCTTCGGGAGCATCGTCATAATTCCGCCTTGAATTTCTTGCTAACCCCCTTTCCTGTAGACCCATTGGCCACAGTCTCTCGTGCCCAGCACTCAAGCTTTCCTTAGATGAGCTTTTTAGCTTCCAGACGATCTCAACAAGGGCTTTAGGGTGGGGCGGGGAGGCGCAGGGTTTTTATTAAAGGCATCTTAGAAATCGGGCTAGGGCTGAATTCTGTGGTAGGTCTGTGTGGCTCCACTTCATGTTTGTTTTAATTACCATGTTTGTGTCTATCCCTAGTTCAACACTCCTCCACTTCGTTTGTATTAATTACCATGTTTGTCTCTCTCCCTAGTTCATTTTGGCTCCACTTCATGTTTGTTTTAATTACCATGTTTGTGCCTCTCCCTAGTTCAGTTTAGCTCCAATTCATATTTGTTTTAATCTTCCATGTTTGTGCCTCTCCCTAGTTCAACACTCCGCCTTTTCATGTTTGTTTTAATTACAGTCTTTTTGTCTCACCCTAGTTCAGTTTAGCTCGATGTCATGTTTGTTTTAATCTACCACGTGAGTCTCTCCCTAGTTCAATCCCCCCCCCCCCTCCCACTTCATGTTTATTTTAATCTACCATATCTGCTTTTGTCACTCTTCTACAGCCAAGGGACAATGAGTATTACAGACAGTTTCTGCCTGTATTAGAAGCCCCTTTCATGTTTAACTATATTCCCGAGAAGTGGCACTGGTTTCCTCATCAGGTGCCACAAAGTGAAAAGACATACAATAGCTTGATGGGAAATAAATGTTTCAGTGGTATTCTAGGAACATTCAGTAACAGAGGCAGGTACGATTCTAAGTGTGTGTATGTGTGTGTGTGTGTATTACTTTTTTAAGAGAAATTTATACAGTTTACGGTGTCGTCCAAGCTGATTGTGTTGGGTTTTAAGCTGTAAATATAAAAATAAGCATTTAATGGATATACAAATGTGTGTTTTAAAATGTTTAGAAAAGTTCTAAGTGTTAGCTTTACCTAGTTCACTTCTATTAGGGTGTTACTTCAAGCTCTTGTGATGTCTAAACGATATTCAGTCTCCGGCCACGTCTTCGGAATCGGGTCGGAGTTACAATACATTTGCAGTTGCTTCAGTGACCTTTTCTTGAAGATGCATGATGGTCCTTATTCTTATGTAATTTTACAATACAATTCAATCAGGTGCCGTCTCCAGAGTGAAGGGTGGCTGCAATGGATCTCCAAAACGCTCTGTCTCTTGTCCTTGTTGTACACTATCACAGATTGCTGCCCGTCAATCTCTTGATGTTGTCCTCCCACTTGTATCGTTGCATACCTCTTGCTCTCTTGCCTTTGACCTTTCCCTCCAGTGTGGTTTTTTAAAAGTGTGTTGTCTTTTAATGTGGCCAATATATTTCAGTTGTCTCTTTTTATTTATTTTAAGTTATACTTTATACTCATATTATGTATTTTGTTAAATGAACATAACAGGGTGTTTTGATGAAATTACACTGGGTGTGTGGAAGTTGAGTGTTTGAAAGGCTGATTGCCTGCGTGCCTAATTTGTGACCCTTTACTAATAAAGTTCGTTCTTCGTTCGTTATCTTCTCAGTGTCGCTCTAACTTTTTACCCCACTATGAGTTTCTTAATTACCCCTTGCTTTCTTCTATGACAAATCAGTAATACCTTAAGAAACTGTATCAGATTTCCAAGTTTACCCTCTTCCCTGACGTATAAATAAATTTAGTGTAACTTTTTCAAACCTAAACATTTAATACTTCCAAGTATAGCATCTTGAAAAATAGCAAGCTCAAGTGACAACTGCTTGTCACCATTGTTTAAAAAAAAAACTGTCACTACTGTTTAAAAAAACTGTCACCACTGTTTAAAAAAAAAAAACTGTCACTACTGTTTAAAAAAAATGTCACTACTGTTTAAGAAAACCTGTCACAGCTGTTTTTGAAAAAAAAAACGTCACTAGTGTTAAAAAAAATGTTTCCTACAGTTTTTAAAAAGAAATGCCACTACTGTTTTATAATAGAGAGAGAAAAAAATTGTCCCTACTGTTTAAAAAGAAAAAAAATTCACTACTGTTTTATGATTAAAAAAAACTGTACCATCTGTTGAAAAAAAAAAACTGTCCCTACTGTTTAAAAAAAAAAATGTCACTACTGTTCAAGAAAACCTGCTACAGCTGTTTTTTGAAGAAGAAACAAACATCACTAGTGTTTTAAAAAAAAAAACTATTACTACTGGTTTTTTTTTTTTAAACTGTCGCTACTGTTTTGAAAAAATTGTCACTATTGTTAAAAAAAAACTGTCACTACTGTTTTATTTTTTTAATGTCACTACCGTTAAAAAAAACTGTCACTACTGTTTAAACAAAACTGTCACTTCTGTTTTTAAAAAAAACTGTCACTACTGTTTAAACAAAACTGTCACTTCTGTTTTAAAAAAAACTGTCACTACTTTAAAAAGAAACTACGACTAGTGTTAAAGGACTCTAACGACTTTTTTTTTTAAACTGTTCACTACTGTAGGGGTCACTACACCACATTTTTTTTTTTTTTTACAGACTTACAGCAGTTATTTTATAATGGTCGTTTGTAGGGATACATGTTATTACATTTGTATACTTTAAGTGTTAAAAAATCATAGTTGTCATGGCAATAGCCGCCATCTTGTGAAAAAAAACAATATGTACTTAGAATCCTAAATTTTTAAAAACAAAGATAGGTATTCAACAATAGATGATGGATCCATAATCTTTTATTCTATTTAGAAGTACAGGTCTAGTTTATTTACTTTAAACATGTTTTTAAATATTCTTCGTATAATTTTAAATTGTAGGTTCATTGAAAAAGTCAAAAATCTAGCATCATAAGACAATAATCAAATTTTAGAAAACAAAATCTTTCTAAAATCTACTTTTAGATAGACCAGTCCCTATAATATTGTTTATGGAGTAGGCATACGAAATTTCGTGTTTCTACTCTTTATATTAACTTAGATTTTAGGATTTCACACATACAGCAAACTGAAATATAGAGATTTGAGAAAACTGACTTTTAAACTTTTTTTTTATCTTAAAAAAGTGCACCAGGTGGTGTCGTTAGTATTAACTTTTCAATGCTAAATTGTTTACAAATGACATGCATTTTGTGTGTAATCTATTCTACGAATGCCGAACTTCACAAAAACGAACACATTGAAAAAGTGATATTTTTGTCATAAATTGGGAAAAATGCAGTGTAGTCACTAAAAAAAAAAAAAAAAAACCAGTCACTACTGTTTAAAAAAAAAAACTTTCAATACTGTTAAGAAACCTATTTTTTTTTTAACAACTGTCACTACTGATAGGAAACCGTCACTACCACTAAAAAAATACTGCCTCCACTGTTTAAATTTAAAAAAAGTTTCACTACTGTTAATAAAACTGTCACTACTGTTTGTTTTGTTTTTTAAATGTCACTACTTAAAAAAAAAAAAAAACTGTCACTACTATTCTTGTTTTTTTCTGGTATGTGCTGTGCCAATGCCTTAAAACAGTATATCCACGATTACGATGACCACAAAATCTTCAATGTAAAACCCGGACGTTCCTTTAATATATTGAATTGAAAACCAGACATTCCACTAGTTTTTTGAGTTGAAAACCGGACGTTCCACTAATATCTTGAGTTGAAAATCGGACATTCCACACAAATTTTGAGTTGAAAACCGGACGTTCCACTAATATCTTGAATTGAAAATCGGACATTCCACACAAATTTTGAGTTGAAAACCGGACGTTCCACTAATATCTTGAGTTGAAAATCGGACATTCCACACAAATTTTGAGTTGAAAATCAGACGTTCCACTAATATCTTGAGTTGAAAATCGGACATTCCACACAAATTTTGAGTTGAAAACCGGACGTTCCACTAATATCTTGAGTTGAAAATCGGACATTCCACACAAATTTTGAGTTGAAAAATTAGACAGCCCAAGCTTATCAGTTTATCTTAACCCCCCCCCCCTCCCCCACCCACCCCTCCCGTCTTAATACTTGTTTCGAGGTCACCTGGATAAAAGGGCTAATAACTCGCTAGGCGATGGTACTATTACGACCCGAAGCATTGTCGCTAAGCAATCAACAAAACAATATACTCCCGAAGCAAACTGGAAAAAAAAAAAAAAATGCAACAATGATAATTCCCGTCAACACATGTCAGGCATTGAAAGTATATAACTCTCTCAAATCCTGTAGGGTCCCCAGATAAAACTATACGTGTGTGTAGTATTCTCGAGTTTATTCTAGTAGTTAAAACCAGGGCACGTGTAGTTTATTTGGGCGTAGCGAGACAGTCATGATTCACATGTCACATTAAAAACGGATCGAATGATCATCCTAATCATGGTGTAATAGACTACTGATTTCAGATTCGACTTCGTAGCAAATTGGGCGTACTCCTAGATGGTTCATTTCCTGCTGCAAAAGTCTGCAGGCAGTGTATCCCATGAGGGGATCAGTGAAACATATTTTAAAACGTCCGTGATGTCATTTAAAACAGCCATAACTTTATGGTGCATGTCAAAAGTGGGGGCAGCCATCTTTAAACTATCATTATGAGGTCACCCTGTTCGTCTGCACAGTAATGTCACGTTCTTAACACTCCTGACATTATTATTAAAAGAAGCAGGTTATAAGAAATGACATGGTTATTGTAATTGCTATCACACTATTAAAGCTTTCATTCGAAGCTACTTCGTGTGTCAGAGACCTGTGGTGTTTCTCCAGAAAGTTCCCGCCATGCACAGTTGTTGATGGTTGCTGGGAAATGATGTCAACAACAGGAACTTCTGGTTACTTCACAACACATCAGCTTCTTTATCTACTATTTGGAGAATACGTAAGTTATCGTTTACAGTCATCATCAAGTACCTTGCCGACTAGCGTGGGCGATCATTCCTCCCCAAAACCTATGATCTTCAACAGCATGTATCAGTTTTTGTGCTGAAACATCTCTAGCCATGGCAAAGTGCTGTCAAGAATCTCCTTGCATTGTCCTCTTCTGTGTTGTTTCCCACATATTTGTCCATATGTTGTGCGCCTCGAGTACTAGAGGTTCTAGGTTCAATCCTCAGTCTTCTTCTTCTTCTTCAATCCTTCTGTCAGAAAACTTATATCAGGAGGCTGGTAGCCTTTATGAAAGCGATCGTGCAATCCATATTTTCTCGTGTACCATACAGTTTTGTCTTCAGTGTGGTTGGAACAGGCCAGATTGCGTCTCTGTTGTCAGCATACAGTTGACAGTGTTGGAGCACATGCTCAGCATTTTCGGGTGCCACGCTGCAAGGACACGTCTCCGTATTTCCTACACCGAAAATTTTGAACATATGTTGACGACATTTGTTGTGCCCAGTTCTTAGTCTGAATATAATGCACTGTCGCTCTCTAGAGAGGCGATGAAGTGAGTCTTGGGGAGAAAATCTGGTGTGGGTATCCAGCCACCTTTCTTGGATACTAGATTGTATTAGTGTTTTCATCTCTTGGTGGGTTAAGTCGCTATTTGGTTGTACCATGTCACTGCCGCTTCTGGCCAATCTGTCCGCTATTTCATTGCCTTCCAAGCCACAGTGACCTGGAATCCACTGCAATACAGATTGTTCTACTGAAGAGCCTAAGCAAATCAGCTGTTGCGACAAGTCTACAAACTGAGTGTCTTTTGAGTTAACAATTGCTTGTACAACTGACATAGCATCAGTCAGAAAGACCACTCTGCTATATTTGCTGTGCTGTTGTCCATTCAGGAAAGAACATGCCGCTAAAAGTGCTTCTGCCTCTGCTCTGAAATTGGAGGAAAATGAACCGGTTGGTACAGCCTGGTTGACTTTTAAACCATGTGGGCACTCTATGTATATTCCTCCTCCTCCGTCTCTTACTGCTCTCTTGGCTGAACCATCTGTATACACTCGAATCCAACTCTGGTGTGGATAAAGTATCTTGATCTCTCCTTCTGTAGTTGATTTCATATTAGTGCTGCTCATTGATGATTTGGAGGATATCCCTGTTACAGTGGTTCTAAATGTTGGTAGGTTATCCCTAAGCCAATGGGGACAGTCGTTGTAAGGTTTAAGTGGAACATTTGGTATTATGTGAGGGAGTTTAAGGACAGCGAGCTTGGCATTTGCGTTCTTAATAAAACAGGTTCTCTGGGGTTTCTGCAGTCGGCTGTGCATGGGTTGTTCTTTAAAGTGGTGGTATTTGGAGAGCTGTGTGAGGAGCTTTGTGTCTCTCCTATCTTCCAGATCATGGACACCAGTAATTGTTTCCATATCTGATATGGGAGTGTAGCGCATTGCCCCTGTCATAATACGGAGAGCGTGGTTTTGGATCTTTGAGACTTTCTGAAAATTTGCTATGCCCCAAGCAGCTATTCCATATTCTAGTGTTGGCCTCACATAGCCTGTATAGGTCCTATTAAGGACATTGAGGTTTGCCCCCATATTTATGAAGCATACTATCATCAGCTGACATTTTAAAAAAAAAGAAGATAAGACTGTTGACAGATTAAACAAAGCAAACCAACTCACTGGCCAAATGGCTCTAGTACTGAGAAAACATGTATCGGTAAATACCAGAAGAGCACTCTTTAACACAATCTTCTTGCCAACCCTGTCTTATCAATGCTGGACCTGGACAGTGATAGAAAAACATAAAAGAACAATTACAACAGAAACGAGATTCGTGATAAGGGCTCTTAACAAAACAAGAAGAGATAAGATCAAAAACGATGATATTAGAAGGAAAATGGGTGGTACCACAGCTCTGGATGTCACTAGAAAACAGCAAATGAAATAGTGATTAGTGATTAGAAAGGATTATCATCACAGCACTAAGGACAGATCCATAGGTGCTCCGATCTTCTCCTCAAAAGCTCCACAAGTGTAAAACTACTGATGAAATGGTTTGGCCATGTAACGCAGATGTCAGCAGACGGTATACCACAGCAAGCAATTGTGTACAGACCAGGCAGGAAGCGAAGAAGAGACCGACCATGCAAGCGATGAACAGAAGGAATTATCATTTACCCATTTACGAAGCACAGAAACGGGAGCTTTCCAGCAAATTCTACTTCACCTCGACACCGCAAGGTACAAGCGGACCAAGACGAGATGAGATGAGCTATGTAAACCGTTGTTCATTTCTCATACTGTTTAATTCTTCCCTTGTGTTTCCACATATTCCCAGAGTGGGTGCCAGCAGGATTTGGAAGATCGTTCCCGCAAAGACACCGGCATGTCACTCCGAGATTTACAGCGCTTTTTGTGCCAGCAAATCTATACAGAAGCAATGCTTATAGAAGATAACGGCACAAAAGAGGAGACAGCACAAGATCTTTTTCTTGAGCAAAGTAAGGGAACTACTTATGTTTGTTAACAGAGGGTCACTTGTGTTCACGGATATGATTGGCTATCTTCGGACTGGTTTCCCCAATATTTGCCTTTTCGCCTTTGGTGCAGGTGATGGCATACATTAGGTTATACCATTTACAAATGAACTCTTTCCTAATATGAAATGATCCCTTCGATAAGGTGACCGAATGGGTTTTGACCACACATGTACATCTTTAGCATCTAGTACGGGGGCTTTTTGTTTGGTTAATTTCATATCAGAGAAGCTAACACATTTCAAACAGACGATTGGGGAAACCGATAGAAAGCTAGCAGATCCTTTCCGTGGACATCTTACATCTTTACAGTAAGGCTCCTCAACCTCCCTCCAGTTCCAATTGTTGCGTTCACCAAGGCGAAAGCGATATCTCAGTTACTGCTATAAACTCTTGCACCGGTGATCAAACCAGCAGGTACTCCTTAATTTGGCGTTCTCTGGCAGGGGTCAATATTTCGCAAAGCTATTTTTTTTTTAAATTGCTTTAATTTAATTTAATTGACTTTGTTAACTTGTTTTTACTTCTCCCCCTTTTTTTAAACGCGTTTTATTTATTTCGTTTCATAATGTAGCCCTTTGTGGCCTTATGATTTTTTTCCCCTGTTAGTTGGTTTCATGTTGCCCTTGGTTATCTGCAAGCTTGATATTGTCTGTTTAGTTTTCCAGTCACCATTTGTTATTTTTAGTACTCCTTTGATAAAGACTTTAGTCAAAACGCTCGATAGCATTTGTGCGCGTCTTTTCCATCCCCTCTGTTGAGCTTTCTAGTCACATTTGATGTTATATTATTAAGTACTGCATATCTTTGCTTTAAAAAAAATATGTAACAAATAATAATATTATTTAAAATCTATGGATAAGCACGTATGTGAGTCATGGATTAGTTAACGATAATTAAGATGAAATACTATAAACAGCTATGACGGGCTGGCTAAACCAGGAGAGGGTAGCCGGCCTGGTTCTAAACCACTCGGTGATTGGGATATGCCTACCCCGCATGCAAAGACTGGACTCGGCAGATTATAAGGTTGAAGCCTCTTATGGTTCAAGGACAAGAAGGTTCGGTTCGGTTCAAAGTAAAAAAAAAGTAAAAAAATCTGACGCTTCAGCGTGTCACTGGGACGTTGCTTTACTTGCGTCTTCCTTTCTGGACGGGTTTGTGTTAAGGCTTGTTATTGCGCCTTTTGTTTGCCACTCGTCCTCCTTGCCATTTTCGGTGTTGGAGCTGATTCCTTAGCTGGTTGTCAGTCACGCAGTCACTGCGCCCACCAGGGCAGTCGCCAAGAGCAACCTCTCGAAACAAATAAGCCAGCACTGAAGCCACCTACCACAAGGACCTTTTCAGGGCCCCACTTAACTTCTTTTTTGTGCTCTTTTTTTTTTCACCTCTTACATGTGTAGTGGTGGGAGCCTTTTTTCGGCCTCTTTTTTTTGGGGGGTATTTTTTTTTTTTTTTTTTGGCCTTGCCTTTTTTGTTTTTTGGCTTTTTTTTTTTTTTTTTTCAATTTTTTATCCAGTTTTCTTCTGGCCACACATGGTATAGTGATAGTTGGAATAAAACACAGGGTTTGTAAAAAAAACTAGAGGGCAGGAATGCTCCGTAGGAACATATAGTAAGGTCGAGAGATTGAGGGTGATCGATAGCTTGCTAGGTAGAGGAAGAAAGAAGTAGGTTCTCCTGGTTGGCGATTACCTGCAGGCTTTATGGAGAGCTTCGAGCAAGGCAGGGCATTTAAGACGCATTTGTCATCCACTGCACCTAGGTCCTTGTCCAATCGTCTCGACATTGTCCTACCATTTAAATCCAAGTCCTTGCGCAAGTCACGTTCACTTTCATCCAGCTATAAACAGATTCTTAGAATAACAAGAAGTACAGAATTATTGATATCCTAAAAGATATAATCACATCAAGGAGAATTGGCACGTAAACAGCATCTTGTCTTGGAAACTAAAATAATTTGGCCATCTCAAAGGTTACGGTGGACTGGAAATAACAATAACAGATGACATCGTACCGTGAAATACGGACAGTGGCTGACCAACTCGGAAATATATACAGACCACCTTGGGCAGGAAAGTCCATGCGACTGAAAAGCTGGCGAGCGACCGAGTTTCTTTCAGGAAGGTTGTGACGGAAGTGACGTTTTTCAGATAACCTGTTTTATGGTGATGATGCATAAATTAAAATACAGGCGTTCATCGGTTATACAATCCTCATCTGCACAGTCGTGGCGTCAGCACTAGCCATGAGGTCAAAATACCTCTGGCTCAAGACACCCCCCCCCCCCGCCTACACCGCAGGTGTTATATAAAGGCAGCTTTTTTTTCTATTGGCAGTTAATCAGTCGTTTGCAACTGGCAGTAATTGTAAAATACAACCTTTGCTTGACTCATAATCTGTGTCAGCAGTCACACACAATCATCTAATTTTACAACTGTTCTTTAACGCGAATGTACTGATTTGGTTAGCTTAGAGGTAGGTAGCATGCTAAAAAAAACGTGTCTGATTTTTAACAGGTGCACTTTGTGGCATCTTGGGTTTTGAGGACTTCTTCAATGAGACTTGGATTCGGATGGTTCTGGGGTGGCAACATGTAAGCGGATGTTTCACGCAGACTTTTCACAAGCTAGACCGTGAAGAGAATGATGAATTCCAGACAGGACTAGACAGTGAAGAGACTGATAAATTTGAGACAGGATCAGACAGTGAAGAGAATGCTGAATTCGAGACAGGAGCAGACAGTGAAGAGAATGCTGAATTCGAGACAGGATCAGACAGTGAAGAGAATGACAAATTCGAGACAGAAACATTCGGAAAAAAAAATTCAGTGTAAGCTGTTGTCTGTTTATGTGTCTCCAGTTAATTTATATTAACCTCCTACGTAACGATGAATTATTGCTTATTTTATTATTATAATTAGGACGTTTTATCAAGTTTTGGACTTCAATCTTGTTCTAGAACCGGAGTTTTACGTGCACATCTGTTTTACACATCTGTCTTGATTGTATGCAGACTGTTGACTCTTCGCCTCTCAGGTAGATGCACTCCGACTTCGAAAGAAACATTCTTAATTAGTCTACTTTTACGACATGCAAGGGGGGCAGTGGGTCTATTCCGTCTCTGCCCCCCTCCCACCCACCCACCCCACCCCGTTCCCACACAGAGGCCCCGAAACCCACACATGGAAGGCTGTCTACAGTGTGATTTTGACATCATTACCGAGTGTGCCGATTGGTCTATAAAAAACATTTACACACAACAACAAAATCACACACACACATACACACACACACATACACACACACACATACACATATAGACACAAATATACACACTCATATACACACACACATACAAACACACACCTTCGCATACGCACACGCGCGCGCGTACACTCACACACACATTTGGTGGCTGCGTGGTCTCGAAGCGTGGTGTCCGCCACGAGTACTAGAGGTTCCGGGTTCTATCCCTGGTAAGGGCTGGGATTTTTTCACATGGAATTGGACTTCTAGTAATTACTCCTGGTCTCTGGGTAGTGAGATCGGACGCCCGTGTGCATTGTTGCTCATGTGAACAAATCTCTTGGCAGTTGGAAATCGAAAAGAATAGCCTAGCGGCGCTGCCCGGGCAAAATTTGGAGTTGAAAATCTACCCAAAGTATTTAAGGATCCTCGCTGGTGCTTCAGAGGCTGTACACTGTGCTGAGCTTCTGCGGACTCAGACTTGAGTTAGAAGAACGGAGCACTTATGGGTTACTACCCGTATGCCATGATACTGATGCGTTGTTCAAACCACATACACACACACACACACACACACACACACACACATATATATATATATATGTGTGTGTGTGTGTATATATACTTACATGTGTGTATGTGTGTGTGTGTGTGTGTGTGTGTGTGTGTGTGTGTGTGTGTGTGCCCATTTCGCCTATGACATCAAAAGTGTATTTTATTTTATTATTATTTTTTATTATTTTTTTTTTATTATTATTTTTTTTTATTATTATTACTATACCGTTTGCTTTGCAATACTTGTAGCTACTCCTTTTCTCTCAGTAGATATACAAGTGTATACATTTGGTATCCTAAACGGATCTAAATATTGAGGAGAATGGCACTGCGGTGAGTTACTGGGGGATCTGTCAAATATGTTTTTTACCAGAAACAGCATCCTGTCTCGGACGCTGAAATATGTTGATCATATCAAGCGCCAAGACGGACTGAAAAAAAAATTATAGCATAAGGCAAGGTACCATGAAGAGGGGTGGGGGAGGGGGCAGGGCCCATCAACACAAAGATGGGTACAGGATAAAGGCGAACTCCTTGAGTATGAAAATACATGACGAGGGAGAGCTTTCGAGAGACCGACTTTCTTTTAGGCAGACCGTGATAAGAGCGACGTTCTGCAAAGGAACTGCTACATGATGATGATGATGATGACCAGAGGATCAGACAAATATGTTTTCACCAGAGGATCTGACAAATGTTTTCACCAGGGGATCTGACAAATATGTTTTCACCAGGGGATCTGACAAATGTTTTCACCAGGGGATCTGACAAACATGTTTTTACCAGGGGATCTGACAAATGTATTTTTACTAGAGGATCTGACAAATATGTTTATACTAGAGGATCTGACAAATATGTTTTTACTAGAGGATCTGACAAATATGTTTTCACCAGGGGATCTGACAAATGTTTTCACCAGGGGATCTGACATATATGTTTTTACTAGGGGATCTGACAAAAATGTTTTTACTAGATGATCTGACAAATATGTTTTTACTAGAGGATCTGACAAATATGTTTTTACTAGATGATTAGGCTAAGGCTCAACAATCAGACAGTTACTGGTACCATCTGAATTTACACTCTTCGCTTGCTGCTGACAATGGGAACGGAGCTCTTATGGAAGTGTCCTGAGTGCTGTGATTACGATTCTCAATTCAACATTTGCATCATCAGCTTTAAGAAAGAGCAAAAAACAATATATTGGACACAGAATCACCAGACAGGCACTAAAACAAGAAATACAAGTATTACAGGAACGAGAAGGTATCAGAGAAACGATCAGACAAAGACCGATGAGAGACGGTCTGGCCGGATTTCATATCAGAGATCCACAAGATTGCATAAAGTAAAATAAGGGTGAGAGGGTCGACTTTATTACACAGGTTTTTATCCCATTTAGCTCAGTCTCTCTCCGCAGAAAAGCCAGCTGCCTGCCAAAAGCGTCGCACAGAGCACGAACTTCGTAGCTCCGGCGACGACCCCCGGGATTTCCGTAAAAAAACTGCATTCGCAAACTGAAACGAACCCACGACTTTTAGAGCGCGAGGCAAACGGCTTGACAACTTCGCCACGGTGCCGCCCCAAGATTGCATAGAATAGCGTGGAAAGGAGGATTTATGGCACCCATCGCTAGTGCAGTCGCCGTGACCTGTGCCTGTTAGGACTTTTGTGTG